CCAAGACCTAATAGCATAGACACGAGCAGTGGGGGTGTAATTGTGATTTGAATGTACCATAGAAATCCTTCTGTGGCTCTCAGAAGAGGTGGAGCTTGGGACCAGTGTTGTGGTTATCCTGTTGCAGCCACCTGGGGAGTGTACCAGAGGATGGAAGACATCTCTCTCTGTCTCTCCCTCTGTCTGTAACTGCCTCTCATATAAATAAATACAAATTAAAAAAAAAAAAAAGACATGAGCTCCCACATGTGCATTTCCAATTACCTGCCCAAATCGGCAGCAATCTGAGGAGCTCTGCAGCGTAAGACTTGGCTGCTTTCCCCCGTCTGGGGCCCTGAAACTACCATTTGACTGATATTATCTGAACTATACGGATCTGCGTGTTAACCCACTTGGATAAGCAACTTTAATATTGGCCCTGTGCTCATAGCAACTTTAATGCTGAGAATTTATTAAACTACTAATAAGTGTTGATTTGATTAAATGGGTTAGAGAATCAAAATAAAAATTTTTTGAATGCTTTTTGAGAAACATTCTTTAAACTCAGAATGTTTAATTACAATAAATATGATACAAAATAATTATACACAAAATTTCCTAGAAAGGTGGGTAAGTGCCTACATTAAGAGATTCCCAGATTTTTTTTTTTTAAAGATTTATTTATTTATTTGAAAGACAGAGTTAAGAGAGAGAGAGGTCTTCCATCCACTGGTTCACTCCCCAAATGGCCGCAATGACTGGAGGTGGGCCAGTCTGAAACCAGGAGCCAGGAGCTTCCTCCGGTTCTCCCATGCAGGTGCAGGGGCTCAAGGACTTTGACCATCTCTACTGCTTTTCCAGGCATTGGCAGAGAACTGGATCAGAAGTGGAGCAGCTGGGACTCAAACTGGTGCCCATATGGGATGCTGGCACTACAGGCTGCGTCTTTACCCGCTACTTCACAACGCTGCTGCTCCCCCACCCTGGTTTTTTATAGTCACCATACAATGGGTGGGCAAAAAAAAAAAAAAAAGTAGTGGTATTTGATTCTTAACAACAGACAGTAAAGGAAAGAGAAACTAGTTACAAACATCCTTATAATCTTGCAAATTGCACTCAGAAATACAGCAGAAAAGAGCTGTGTGAAAATACACTCTGTGTGGTCGGCGCTGTGGCTCAGCAGGTTAAGCCTCCTTCAACAGCAGCATGCCATATGGGCAACAGTTCCAGTCCCGGCTGCCCTACTCCTGATCCAGTTCTCTGCTAATGTGCCTGGGAAAGCAGTAGAGGATGTCCTAAAACAAAATCTCTGAACTCCACTGCATGATATAGCTCAAAGATTTTTCCCTGGATAGCTGACTTTCTGTGAACGGTTGGGTAGATTTTCCTAGCTTGCTGTCCCTGGTTCACTACTATGGTGCCCGTTGGCCGTGTTTTCCTTGAAGTCCTAGAAAGGAACCACAGGAATATTCTAACACTAGAAAATCACGTGTTCTCTTTATTATGATTCTTTGAGGCCAAGCTAATGGGAGCTAACACAGGGTCTTGCAGGGTACTTTTCTGTGACTGAGGCCTGTGTTAGTACTTGAGACAGAAAATGTTTAAGCAGAGAGTCTGATCTGAGCAGCAAGAAGTTGTCATAAAATTCATGTTTTCCTTCCTCTTCCTATATCTGGTAACAACTGCAACTATTTAGCATCTTTTACCTCTTCCCATACTCTATCAAAAGGGGTTTCTTGAAACATATAGGCAGAGACTCGAAGCAGCTGAACTCTTCTACTCCTCACCCCTTTAAAAAGTGACTGAGCTCTTTAGTATCTATTTCGTTTTTTAAGATTTATTTTTTTATTTGAAAGGCAGAGTTACACAGAGAGGAGAGAGAGGGAGATCTTCCAACTGCTGGTTCATTCCCCAAATGGCCACAATAGCCAGGACTGGGTCAGACCTAAGCCAGGAGCCAGGAGCCAGGAGCTTGTTCTGGGTCTCCCATATGTGTGCAGGGACCCAAGGACTTGGGCCACCTTTCACTGCTATCCCAGACACATTAGCAGGGAGCTCGATCAGAAGTGAAGCAGCCAAGACTCAAACTGGCGCCCCTTAGGGATGCTGGCACTGCAGACAGCAGCTTAACCCACTGCACCACAGGGCTGGCCCCCTTAGTACCTATTTTTTAGGCTTATGGATCTTAAGAACATACTGCCGCATTTGAGTGTTCATTTTGTACTACCTTTCCAGGCCAACACTATCCTCTGTGAAGTGCATGATGAGCCACAGCTCACAGACTTGAGTCAAACTGACCAGCATTGCTGAGACTGCCTTCATTTTATAGATCCCCGCAGTCCTCTGCCTTTCTGTCCCCACACTCCCCAGTACCATTAGATGGATCTCGGGCAGGGTGGGAACCCATGGGTCTCTAAACCAGATGCACAAGGTGGTCCTTCCTCTTCACGTTTTTCCTCCCACCCCGGCAGGACCTCAGACACCTCTATTTTGAGCTATCCTTTCTTTCTGCTTCCCCTGAGCACTCAGCTCTTCCCCTCAACGGGCTCATGGCTTTTGGAAAAGGGCAGCCAGTGAGAACAAACCTCTATAATGTAATAATAATATACATGTAAATAATAATAATAATATAATGTAAAGACAGGACCCAGCCTCTCTTCTGTCTCCCTTAGCCCAAAGTGTCCTCGCCCGTCCTTTTACCAAAAGAAATCCACTGAACTGAAGATGTGATTCTAATCTAGAATTAATTCTAATTAGACAAGTTACTGGATTCAAACAGTCATTTGCTTTTCCAGTAGATAAAACCCTCTTGGCCAGTATTGTCTAGAGGTATTTATTTAGAACTCCAGGTCTGGGGCAGAAGACAGTTACCACTTATGTGTAACCCCCAGACTAATTAAAGCCCACCTGGCCATCATAAAAATTCCTTAAAGAGAACTGCATCACTGAACAATCAAAGCAAGGTCTGAGCACCACTGAAGTAAGTTGGCCAGGAAGTAAACATGCGCGCTCAGCCCCGACTTCAATCCCTACCACCTCACCTCTAAGTTCGAGATGGGGTGCCCAGGAATCAAGCAGTAGCTGCCTGCTCTTTGCCCTTGCTGTGTGCGTTGCAATACATTACCTACTTTCTTCCACCTCCCTGATGTCAGTGGTAGGCTTTCTGTGTGTAAGATGAGCAGACCCAAGTTTGGGGGTTCTATAGCAACACTTACAAGTTTATGTGGTGGTTCCACAACACCAGTTCTAAAACTCATGCTGGGGCTGGCGCTGTAGCACAGCAGCTTAAAACCTTGGCCTAAAGCGCTGGCATCCTATATGGGCACTGGTTTGAGACTCAGCTGCTCCACTTCTGATCCAGCTCTCTGCTATGGCCTGGGAAAGCAGTGGAGGATGGCCCAAGTGCTTGGGTCCCTGCATCCGCGTGGGAGACCCGGAAGAAGCTCCCGGCTCCCGGCTTTGGATTGGCACAACTCTGGCTGTTGCGACCAATTGGGGAGTGAACCATCGAATGGAAGATCTCTCGCTCTCTGACCTCGTCTCTGTTTAACTCTGTAGAGTGAATAAATAAATCTTAAAAAAAAAAAAAACCTCATGTGTGCTTTCTTGCTACATGCATACCTCTTATAAGGGAGGACAGAGGAAAAAACAGTGAAAAAATTTATAGCTCAAAACAATATTCAGCTGTTAGCAATTCAGTTCCAAAAGACAGTTACATTTCTAAAATAATTTTATAATATAGTGCGTTTATTGCTATGGAAAGTTTTTTTTTTTTTTTTTTTTTTTTTTTTTTTTGACAGAGTGGATAGTGAGAGAGAGACAGAGAGAAAGGTCTTCCTTTGCCATTGGTTCACCCTCCAATGGCTGCCACGCTGGCGCGCTGCGGAGAGCACACTGCACTGATCCGATGGCGGGAGCCAGGTACTTATCCTGGTCACCCATGGGGTGCAGGGCCCAAGCACTTGGGCCATCCTCCACTGCACTCCCTGGCCACAGCAGAGAGCTGGCCTGGAAGAGGAGCAACCGGCACAGAATCCGGCGCCCCGACCGGGACTAGAACCCGGTGTGCTGGCGCCGCTAGGCGGAGGAATAGCCTGTTGATCCGCGGCGCCAGCGGAAAGATATAACAGACAGAAAATTGAAAAGCTGTGCATCATGACTCCAGTGTTTAAGTAGCAAATTAGGTGTATAAAGTGGAAACGGATATATGAAAAGCTAACAAGCTCCTGGAACATATTATAAAAGTATGCATAGTATATACCGCATCCATGGTTTTATTTGGCACAACACTATATAAAATGATTTTTGAAAATACTCGGGAGAGGGAAACTGTGTTGAGGCTAGAATGTCTCGAAATACAGCTATATAATTTCTTACAAGTCACAGGACTACTATTAGTTCATGGAAAATGTAATGAAAAGTTAATTTTGGTCAGGACATTTCGAAGTCCACGCCTATTTTGTTCTCTGGTTCTAGGGGGTTAGGACGATGAGGCAGGAAACCTGGTGAAGCAGGGGAACGTGTGGAACTTAAGTTAGGTACCACTTCATCAAGAGGAAACGCGGGGCCGAGGAGCGCTGGGCCGGGCCACGACGCGGGCGCCGCCGCTTCCAGAACGCTCCAGAAGGCAGAAACAGACGCCAGCGCGGCGGGATCGCCAGCAGCGCGCGCTGCCCTCGGCGCGCTGAAGAGAAGCGAGCCTGTGCGTCACGGGAGAAACGCCGCGCTGCACCGCGCGCACGCCACCTCCCGCGCTCCCGGGCTCCGTGCAGTCAACAGTGCCAGGAACCGCGGGCAGGAGGCCGCGGGCGCGACCCCAGCCGCCAGCAGCGCCTTTCGAGGCGCCCCACGCCGTGAAGCGCCGCTCCCAGGGCGGCTCCCGCCGCGGGCTGCGCGCCCCACGCCCTCGCCTCCGCCTCCGCCAGCGCGGCCGGCCGTTTACTTTTGAACGGCGCTTTCGCACTCTTTCCATTGGTAAACGCTCCGCAGTTGAATGTTGCGCGGGGACTGCGCCTGCGCCGCGCGGCTCCACGAAGCCCCGCCCCATTGAAGCACCTGGAGGCCTAGGGGCGGGGCGGGGCCCGGCGGCGGAGCGGAGCTGCACTGGGCGTCCGCTGTGAGGCTGCGGAGAGCTGTTCGGCGCGGCGTTGCAGGAGCTCCGTCTCCCCGCGTGAGTCTGGGGCCTTTTCCGGGTGCGAGCGGGCGGCTCTCGGTGCCGTTTGCTGGGTGTCCCGAGTGTGTGCGGCGGGGAGTCGCGGGGGGTGGTGATGGAGAGGGTGGGCTTAGGTCCTGCATCCCTTCCCTCTCGTCCCGGAGCGGGAGTTTGGGGGTCCCTTTGCCTTCCCTCCCGCAGGGACCTGCGTGTCTGTGAGGGGGAGCGGGGCGCCGCCTCCGAGCCTCCGGTCCCGCGGAGGCGCCCTAGGAGGGAGGCCTGGAGACGGGTCCGCAGCCTTCCAGGAGGGAAGCGCGCTCACTGCCATTTTGTGCGAGACTCTCACGGGACGTAAGAGGCGGCGATGCAATTACGCCCACTTCACAGATGCGAAGCCTCCGCTTTGAGGGGTGTTCGGTAGAGGTGCCTCCGTCTCCACATCGAGCCGAGAGAGGAGCAGCCCTGACGCGTGGTGGGCAGAACCTACTCCAGTAGTTTGAGGCCGGCAGAGCCTTTCTCGAGGGCGCTTCTTGCCTTCCAGTTAACTCGCAGCAGTTTAAAGTGACCCCGGATGTTTGCTCGGTCATCACCATTGTGGGTTAATATTGCCGAAGTCCTTGTTGTAATACTAGGTCCTTTGTGACAGTCGTGTTTCATCACAGAATTGCAAGGATTTTCAAGAAGCAAGTGATGGCTCTAGTGCGGGCTCCAACAAACAGGTGTTTTCTTAAAAGCACACGCGCAGGGAAGGCATATATCAAAGGCGGAGAACTAACAGCCATTGCCATGACATCATATTTAATGTACTTTTGGAGAAAAGAAGTCCAAAACATTAAAGATAAAATTGTTTTAATTTTAGAATAAAAGCATCTGGACAACTTGGGGAAGATAAAGTATATTCAATTAAGTTGCTGACCCGGATATCCAGAAAGTAGGTAAGCTCTGGGAGATGAACTGAGTGTGAACAAAGTTTTCAGTAAAATTTTAAGTGTAAGGTGAAATTTAAAAATCGCTTGAAAAAAAAATATGATGATGCTTGAAATTCTGACCATATTAGCAAAGGAGCATAAAATATAAATTACTCTTAAAGATAGTGACTGCTAACTCTTGTATATGCTTTAAGAAATTTTACAAGGATCTGTATATCGCAGTACACAAGCAGTGGTGTACGTACAGACTTGCAAATTGCATTTATTTGGATACTTTTTCAGGAATTGTGCATTTACATATTGCTCTACATTCTTTTTTAAAGGAAAGTAGCTCCTTTTTTCCAAGGAAAGTACCCTCATTTAACTAATCAGGCAAGGTGAAATTTTGATTTTTAGGTGATGTTAGTTTTGACATTGTCTTTCAGCAAATATGTTGCTGAATGTTATCTATGAAGTATATTCTCACTTTGAAAAGCATAAGAAGAATTAAAAACTTCTCATGTCAATTCCTGGTTAAATTGTATTAATACTCTTTTAGTTTGGGGAAGTAGGTTGGTATCAAAGTAATGAAAAGAATACAAATGGGCAAACAGTTAACATCAGTTCTGACCATAATTTTTTAATTTGAAAGCATTATTGTAATGCTTCATTATCTTTGCATATTTGTATGATATTTTTAAACATCTTGTCTTATGTATATAAGTGGTAGAGCTGTAATTTGTTTTGTTTTGTTTTTAAGATTTATTTATTTGAAAGGCAGAGTTACAGAGAGTTAGAGATTTTCCATCCACTGGCTCACTCCCCAAATGGCCAGAAAGGCCAAGGCTGAACAGGACAGAAGCCAGGAACCAGGAGCTTCCTCCAGGTCTCTCACGTGGGTGCAAGGGCCCAAGGATGTGGGCCATCTTCCCACTGCTTTCCCAGGCTCATTAGCAGGGAGCTGGATTCAAGTGGAGCATCTGGGAATTAAACCCGCGCCCATGTGGGATGCTGGCATCACAGGTGTCAGTTTTACCCCTTACTCCCCAGTGCTGGCTCCAGCTGTAATATTTCTTTTCTTTTCTCTTCTTTTCTTTTAAGATTCATTTATTTATTGGAAAGGCAAGAGTTGCAGAGAGGCAGAGGGAGAAAAAGACAGGGCTCTTCCATCTGCTGGTTCACTCCCCAAATGGCTGCGATGGCCAGAGCTGGGCCGATCCAAAGCCAGGAGCCTGGAGCTTCTTCCAGATCTCCCATGCAGGTGTAGGGGCTTCTACTGCTCTCCTAGGCCATTAGCAGGGAGCTGGATCGGAAGTGGAGCAGCTGGGACTCGAACCAGCACCCATATGGGATGCCAGCACTGCAGGCGGCAGCTTTACCTGTTACGCCACAGCGCCGGCCCCTACTTGTAATGAAATGCACTTTGGTGGTGGCACCACTTGAATTTTCCCAGGCTTACTGTTGACTCACTAGAAGTCTAGGGCAAGTCATCTAACTCTAATGTGGTAAATATAATTTCTTTTCAGAGGCTGTAAAATGTATTGAATGTGTTATAATCATTCATGTTTAGAGATGGAAGACAGTAAAACATTAGTGAATTAAGAAATAGCGTATGTAGGAGAATGCGTAATGATAACATTTTAAAAAAAAATTGCGAGGCAGAGAGAAAGAGAGCGAACACTCTTATCTCCTGGTTTACTCTCCAAATGGCTGTAGGGGCCCACAGTGGGCCAGGCTGAAGCCAGAAGCTGAACTGAAACCAGGAACTGAGAACTCAGTCCAGGTCCACCACGTGGCTGGCAGGGGCCAATGACCTGAGCCATCACCTGCTGCTTCCCGGAGTCTGCATCATCTGGAAGCTGGAATTGAGAGCCGAGCCAGGGCTCCATTTCTGGTGCTCCAGTATGGGACATGAGTGTCCTAACTGGTGTCTACACCTGCTGGGCTGAAGCCTGCCCAAGACTTTTGATACTACTTAGTGTTCCATTGTCTATTACCATCATTCTGTTACATGATATGCTGTATCGGAAATTGGCCTTCTGGGGAAAGACTTCATAAAAAGTTTGGAAAATCAGAAATATGTTTGTTTTTGACACAAGAAATTTGTGAAATAACTTGTAAGTAGATAGTTTAGCCTTAGGTTTCTTTCTGAGAAGCGCCCCCCCAACCCCATCACCATATGCGTATTTCTTGGTGACTTTTACAAGGGAAACAAAAAACCTTGAGTTCAATACCAGTTTTTGAGTTTTTAGTATTCATGGAGGGAAATACATTCTATAGAGATAATTTATTTTACTTTTTTGCTTTTTTTTCTAAGATCTATTTATTTATTTGAAAGAGTTAGAGAGAGACATCTTCTATCTGCTGGTTCACTCCTCAAATGGCCACAACGGCTGGAGCTGGGCTTATCCGAAGCTAGGAACCGGGAGCTTCTTCCTGGTCGTCTCCCATGTGGTGCAGGGGCTCAAGGACTTGGTTCATCTGCTGCTGCTTTTCCCAGGCACATTAGTAGGGAGCTGGATTGGAAGTGGTGCAGCTGGGGCTTGAATGGGATGTTGGCACTGCAGGTGGTGGCTTTATCTGCTATGACACAGTGCTGGCCCCATTTTTTTTTTTTTTTTTTGATTTATTTATTTACTTGAGAGGCGTAGTTACAGACAAAGAAAAACAGAGAGTGGTCTTCCATCCACTGGTTCACTCCCCAAATGGCTACAATGGCTGGGGCTGAGCCAGTAGGAAGCCTGGAGCCAGGAGCTTCCTCTGGGTCTCAGATGGTGCAGGGGCCCAAGCACTTGGACCATCTTCTGCTGTTTCCCCATGCCATCAGCAGGGAGCTGGATTAGAAATTGAGCAGCTGGGACTCAAAATGGTGCCCATATGGGATGCCAGTGCCATAGGTGGCTGCCTTACCTACTGTGCCACAGTGCTGACCCCACTTTTTTGCTTTTTAAATGATTTTTTTAATGTTAAAATAGAACTTAAAGTAATTGAAAATTTACTATTTGAGTATATAGTTCAGTAGCGTTAAATGTATTTGTATTGTTTTCTAAGTCTCACCAGCACTTTTCTTTGGAAATTTTGCATCTTCCCAAACTGAAACTCTATACTCACTAGACATTATTTAGGATTTTAGTGTCCATTTTTGAAATTAGTCTATTTTTGGTTTGTACTGTCTCTTGTAGGTTTTAGAATCATGTCATTGTCTTCAGAGCAGTTTGTTAACTAACCATATATGTATTCTGGAACAGTTGAAAAAGAAATTGTTGATCATTTTAAAGAAATTTTCAGAGATGCTTGCCTCTCCTTTTTTCAGAGTAGCATCATGTACTCTCCTAGTTTGCTTTTTATTTTATGGGTCAATTTTGAAAATTTGGATTTAGATAATAATTCATTTCTTGCAGATTTTCAAATATATTAGGATAGAATTATGCAAAATATTGTCTAATTTTGGCTTTTTTTGTATTTGGGTTATTTCCTGTTCTTCTCACTAACTTGGTACATTTGTCTTTTCTTCCTTTTCCCTATTGATTAAGATAATATATTTATGTATTGCTGCATAACAAATTATCCTCGAACATAGCCAGTGAAAACAATATTGAAACATAGTTTCTGTAGGTCAGGAATTTAGGAGCAGCTTAGCTGGGTTTCTCAGGCTCAGTCTCCTCTGAGTTTGCAGTAGACTTTGGCTTAGGCTGCAGTTTATGCTTCCAAGCTCACTTAATGTAGCTGTGTGCCAGCTTCAGTTTCTTATGGGATGTTTGCCTTAAGAGCCTTAGGTTTTCACTATACCAAGTAGACCTTAGTGTTCAACAGCGTGGTAGCTTGCTTCCCTCAGAGAGAGAGAGAGAGAGAGAGAAGAGAGAGAGAGAGAGAAGTAATATCCTGTCCTTTCTGTATTTTGTGTGTTGGAAGAAGTCCTGGTCCAATCCACACTCAAGGGGAAAGGTGATTAAAATACCCAGGAGGGTAGAGGTTGTCACTGGGAGTCATTTTAGAGATTTCCCGTCACAAGTAACTAATGGCTTATTTATTTATTTAAAGAACCAGCTCTTGGATTTCTAAATTCAAATTTTTTAAGTTCATTCTGCCTTTCCTAGCTTTATTTTGTAACTTATTTTTTTAGTCAAATCTTCACTCTGTAATCCCCTTTTTTGTTTTTGAAAATATATGGTGTCAGCTCTGCACTGCTACATTTTTTTTAACCCTTTAGATTTTTGCTAAGAATGTTTCACATGACTAATGTTTTGGCTGAGTACTGAATTCTCAGGCTATATCCTTTCCCTTCTTGACCTTGTGGACATCACTGTGTTGTTTTTTAGCATTCTTTGTTACTTTGGAAATATTTTGGTTATCTACTCTTAAGTAACAAACAAGACTTGGCTGACTCCCTGGCTTTCCCAGGCATATTAACAAGTTGCTGGATTGGAAGTGGAGCAGCTGGGACTTGAAATGGTGCTCACTATGGGATGCCGGCATCATAGCTTAACCCGCTGTGCCATAAACGTCGGCCCCACATATTTTTCTTGTTTGTATGACTTCAGAATGTTTGTAGAGCTGTAGGCTAAAGTTGTATATATGTCTTTCTGACATGCATTCACTTGAATTTTACTGCAGTGAATGTCATCTGTACTGTTGCACAATTCCTTTAGTTTGCAGGAATGCTTCACAGTTCAAGCTTAGCCTCCATGTGACACATCTTGGATGTCTGGGCATCGCAATATGGTCAATCTAAATGGAGTATTTAATGGTGGACTCTCCTGTTACAGCCTTTTCTATGCAAAGCAGAGATTTTGTTTTCTAAAAATAAAAAACCCAAGATATGTATTCACACTGATCTTAAGAGACAGGTGTTCATGGAGTGAAAGTCTACAATGTGGGTTTTTTTTCTTTTTTTTCATTTGAAAGAGTTACAGAGAGAAGTAGAGACAGAGAGGTCTTCCATCCACTAGTTCACTCCCTAATTGGCTGCAGTGGCCAGAGCTGCAACCATCAGGAGCCAGGAGCCTCCTCCGGGTCTCCCACATGGGTACAGGGGCCCAAGGACTTGGACCATCTTCTACTGTTTTTCCAGGCCATTGCAGAGAGCTGGATCAGAAGAGGAGCAGCTGGGACTGGAACCAGTGCTTCAGGCCAGGGCTTTAACCCGCTGCACCACAGTGCCAGCCCCTACAATATGTTAAGTTCTGTGTTTAGATTATAGGAGTATAATCATAGCAATACACAATTCTTATCCTTACAGGAAATTTAAAGAAGTGTTGCTGCATTCTTTTAAGTAAAATCCCATTAAGTGCTGTGAAGTAAAAGAGCACTGTGTAGTGAGAATAACAGGACCCAATCTGAGGAAGAGGCAGGCTCAAATTGAGACCTGAAAGATAAATTTGGCAGATAGCAGAGAAAGAGAGCCAGGAACAAATCTGAAGAGGTTTTCTATTTATTGAAAGCACAATCTTATTTTTTGCTGCTTTCTTCACAAACTTCAACCTTAAAAGTCAGTTTTATAAAGAATTTAGTAACCATTATACATGGATAGCACTTGGGTATTTTGTTGAAGGTTCTTTTGTGTAAATTGAGGTTCCTGCATCCAGGATAGGACAGAGCTGAGGACTGTGGCTTGCACTGTCAGGATAGAAAGGAAGAAAAACTCTAAGAGAGGGTCTGGTGCGAAACTGTCAGGATTCTGTCGTTGGGAACAATAACAGCTTGCCAAGAGTTGTCAGAGCGGTTCTGAGTTCCTTTTGTTCAGGGATATCTGCAACACTTTTCCATAAAGGAGAGATGACTAATGATGTCCTTTATGTTTCTTACCACTGGTGCTCATTTTCATCCAGGTCTCCCATGTGGGTGCAGGGGCCCAAGCACTTGGGTCATCTTATGCTGCTTTCCCAGGCCATTAACAAGGAACTGGATCAGAAGTGCAGCAGCTGGGACATGAACCAGTGCCCATATGAGATAACAACATTGCAGGCAGCACTTTACCTGCTATGCCCTTGTATACCCTTGTGGGAGACCTGGAAACATTTCCTGGCTTCTGGCTTCAGCCTGGCCCAGGTCATTGTGGCCACTGGGTACTGAATCAGTAGATGGAAGATTCTCTCTTTATGTTGACACCCCCGCCCCCACACACACATTGCCTTTCAAATGAATAACAGATCCTTAAAAAAAAAAAAGAATTGTGTATTGATTACAGTATTCAACCAAAAGTATTAAGTAGAACAAACAAAAAAATAGAGGGATAACATATCAAGTTGCTCATCAACAGGGTGAGGGCTGATCAAGTCACCGTTTCTCATAGTGTTCACTTCATTTTAACAGGTTTCCTTTTTGGTGCTCAGTTAATTGTCACCTATAGAACAAGTGGTATTTGTCCCTTTGGGATTGGCTTATTAAATATAAGAGTGGGAATAAGAGAGGAAAGAGATGTGCAATTCGGGACATGCTCAGGCTGACTTACCTCAAACGGTAGAGTTAGAAACATACCAGGGGATTCCAATTCAATCCCATCAAGGTGGCATGTACCAATGCCATCTCACTAGTCCCAGTGATCAATTTCTGTTCACAATTGATCATAATGATAGGACTAAGAACCAAAGGGATCACATAAACAAGAATAGTGTCTGCAAATACTAGCTGATAGAATCAAAAAGGGAGAGAATGATCCAACATGGGAAGTGAGATACACAGCAGACCCATAGAATGGCAGATGTCCTAAACAGCACTCTGGCCTCAGAATCAGCCCTTAAGGCATGCGGATCCGGCTGAAATGCCCATGAGAGTATTTCAGGCATGGAAAGCCAAGACACTCTGGGGAAAAAAAAAAACAACCTAAATGAAAGATCTCTGCGAGTGAGATCCCAGTGGAAAGAATGGGTCATCAAAGAAGGAGGTACCTTTCTCTGAAGGGAGGAGAGAACTTCCACTTTGACCATGGCCTTGTCTAAAAATGATCAGAGTCAGTGAACTCAGGGGGCTTCCATAGCCTTGGCAGCTCATGACAAGAGCCTAGGGTGATTACTCATGCCATAAACAAGAGTGTTAATTTGTTAAGTCAACAACAGGAGTCACTGTGCACTTACTCCTCATGTAGGATCTTTGTCCTTAGTGTGCTGTGCATTGAGATTTAATGCTATAACTAGTACTGAAACAGTATGTTTCACTTTATGTTTCTGTGTGGGAGCAAACTGTTGAAATCTTTACTTAATGTATGCTAAACTGATCTTCTGTATATAAAGAGAAACGAAAATGAATCTTGATGTGAATGGAAGGGGAGAGGGAGTGGGAAAGGGGAGGGTTGTGGGTGGGAGGGACGTTATGGGGGGGAAGCCATTGTAATCCATAAGCTGTACTTTGGAAATTTATATTCATTAAATAAAAGTTTAAAAAAAAATAAAGAAAATCACACTTAGGCATTTAGCCTAGAAGTTAAGATGTGCTTGGCATACTTGTGTTCCATTTGGGAAATACTGGGTTGAAGTCCCACTCCGCTCTTGATTCTAGCTTCCTATTGACATCCTGGGAAGCAGTGATGATAGCTAACTAAGTGGTTGGGTCCCTGCCACTGAATTGAGTTCCTGGCTCCCAGCTCACTGTGGTCATTTCGGGAGTAAACCAGAGGATGGGATCGCTTTCTTGTCTGTCGTCAGCCTCTCAAATAAATGAACAAATACATTTTTTAAAAAGAAAATTATACTTGCTGATCCTGGATTTTAAGCATACTACTCCAACTCAAGAAGCTAAGAAATGTAATTACTAGTGACATTTAATAATTTGCTTTAGAAACTGTGAGACAACCTTAGGAGTGCTTCCTTTTTTTGAATGAAAAAATGAAATTTTGTGAAGTCTGACTTGTATTGTTGTCTTTTATAAGAATACCTTTATATAATTTGTGCAATTTTGATTTTAGCATCTTAGTAAAAAGTTGCACAGAATAGTTGTGATTGTTAGTGGACTTCAGCAACTCTTTGGATTTAACTTATTCACCGTTACAAATAACTTTAATTTGAAGCATTTTATTACAAATTAAAGGGAATTGTTTTGCTTGGGCTGATTTTTACTACAAATCGGAAGCTCTTAAATGAGCATTTATTCAATATTATATATTAGTAATTATTGAGGAAGCTTCATTTAATAAAATCTTGGTGAGTATATTTATAGAAGTTCTCTTTTAAATAAGAAGTACAGTATACTAACAATTTAAAGTTAATGCCTAAATCTTTCTATAAGGTGCAGAAATCTTTGTTATATGTAGACTTAAAGTACTTGTTTCTCTTAACAGGAAATGCACAATTTTGAGGACGAGTTGACGTGTCCCATTTGTTACAGTATTTTTGAAGATCCTCGGGTACTACCATGCTCTCACACATTTTGTAAAAATTGTTTGGAAAATGTTCTTCAGGCATCTGGTAACTTTTATATATGGAGACCTTTACGAATTCCACTCAAGTGTCCTAATTGCAGAAGTATTATTGAAATTGCTCCTACTGGTATTGAATCTTTACCTGTTAATTTTGCATTAATGGCCATTATTGAAAAGTACCAGCAAGAAGACCATCCAGATATTGTCACCTGCCCTGAACATTATAGGCAACCATTAAATGTTTATTGTCTACTAGATAAAAAATTAGTTTGTGGTCATTGCCTTACTATAGGTCAACATCATGGTCATCCCATTGATGACCTTCAAAGTGCCTATCTGAAAGAAAAGGACACACCTCAGAAACTGCTTAAACAGTTAACTGACACATACTGGACAGAGCTCACTCATGTTATTGAAAAGCTGGAAGAACAAAAATCTCTTTCTGAGAAAATGGTCCAAGGTGATAAGGAAGTTGTTCTCCAGTATTTTAATGAACTTAGTGATACAATAGAACAGAAAAAAAAAACTTTCCTAACTGCTCTCTGTGATGTTGGCAATCTGATTAATCAAGAATATACTCCACAAATTGAAAGACTGAAAGAAATAAGAGAGCAACAGCTTGAACTGGTGGCACTGACAACATCTTTACAAGAAGAGTCTCCACTTAAATTTCTTGAGCAAGTTGATGATATCCGCCAACGTGTGCAGCTCTTAAAACAAAGACCACTCCCTGACGTCCAACCTGTTGAGGTCTATCCTCGAGTAAGCCAAATACTGAAGGAAGATTGGAACAGGACAGAAATTGGACAAATTAATAAAGTTCTAATTCCTGAAATGAAGATTTCTTCAAAAAAGATGTTATGTTCTTGGCCTGAAAAGGATGAAAAAGAAGTTGAACTTATAAAACTTTTAAACATTGCTATAGTTACGCTAATTTCTATGATATTGATAGTCATACTCTTTTTCAACCAACACATAATAACTTTTTTAAGTGAAGTTTCTTCAGTATGTTTTTCTGAAGTCTCTCTATCAGTTTACCAAAGTTTATCTAAGAATTTTCATGATTTAGAGACTGTACTGTCTCACACTTTATACTTGTTGAAGGAATTTATCTGGAAATTAGTTACTCATTGAAAACTTAAAATTGTTTAAATGGGCTTATTCTGTACAGCAGCAACTAAGCATTGCTAAATGGAGAAATGGGTAGCACAAACAGCAAACCAGTTACAACAAATACCAATATATAGAAATGTTAAACTTTTTATGCTTCTGTTGGATAGAATGATATGTCAATATTAGAAATGACACAGAACCTGGAACTTGATTCAGATCAAGTCAGTATTAGAAAACTAGAATAAGGAGCTGGCGTTGGTGGCATATTGGGTTGTCACTACCTGCAGTGCTGGTATCCCATATGGGCGCCTGTTCAAATCCCAGCTGCTCCACTTCCAATCTAGCTCCCTGCTAATGGCACTTGGGAAAGCAGATGGCTTGAGTCCTTGGGCCCCTGCCACCACGTGGGAGACCCAGAAGCATCTTCTGGCTCCTGACTTCTGCCTAGCACAGCCCTGGCTGTTGCAGCCATCTGGAGAGTGAAGTGAACCAGTGGATGGAAAATCCATTCCTCCCATCCCCCCGGAATTCTGTCTTTCAAAGAAATCTTTTTTAAAAAAAACTATAATAAAATGTAATAATGACTTGACTTTAATATTCATATTATTCCTATTATTACTGACTTGATAGAGGTAGATTTAAGGCTGTTGTGACTTATAAACACTTTTGTATCTGTATTGTCTTCTACTATTTTAATATACTACACTAGTTAACTTTGCAATTCTTCTAACATTCAGATTAAAAGATGGCAAAATACTCAAGGTGTATAGGCCTTTATTTTGATGTGCTTGAAGTTTGATTAAGGATGGTAAAAGGTTTAAAATCAAAGTAGCTGTCTAAAAGTGGTAAGGGATTTGCTTAAAGATCTTTTTGGATCAGATGTACCTGGTCCACACATCAAATGTGTTTCAGGTACTTATTAGCCGTATGTTTGACTACATACATTCCAAATCTGTTTTTGGGTTGTTACAGTTTTATCTTTGTGCGTGTTTGAGTTTTGCAGGATATTAAGGTCAAATTCTTGGATTAAAATCTAAAACATCACACCAAAACAGTCATTTATTTCTGTGACGTTCCATCAGTTGATTTTGATGGCATCATGTGACCTGTATTCATCTTTAAAACACTGAGTTTTAAGATGCCTGAAGTTCCCTTATTTATGTGAAAGTAGCAGCAATTAAACATTTTGAACTTTATGACAGCGTATGTGTAAAGTTAGAATCTTTTAGTTCCTTAACAGGGACTCAAATAGTGATGTTTGTGCTATTTTCTGATCTGTGTCCATGCATGGAACTTTAAGTACATTATGGTTTGCTTTCTAGAAATTCTAAGTGGGCTGCTCTTGTATCCATTCTCTGGGAGTCTTAGCTAGTTCTATGACTTTGTAGGTCAGATTAGGGAATGTTCCTGGCCCTGCAGATTATATATGGATAAACTATTAATAAACATAGCTGTGTTCAAGATACTAATTCTAAAATACTTCTCTTTATGTGATAAGATCTCAACTAAGATGATGGTTTTAAGTCCGTTTATGACCAGAATCAGATGTTGGCAAGGGTACAATTGGAAGTGAAGGGAAACTTGGCCATTATGATATTAACACAAATACATAATACATTAGGTTGAATTTACATTGATTAAGGTTGTGACTCCACAAAAAGAGCCCTTAATTTTTGGAAAAACATTAGTAAGCAATGAAATGTATATTAGCTTTTATGTGTCAAGCAGTTTATCTCATTTCTTAAATATTATTTTTATAGATGAAAAAAATCATAAAACTTGCCCAAGGCCAGGTAATTACCATGTGGGAGAATTTATGTGTTGTTTTGAGTTCATGCTGTCACATTATACTTGAATTGGCTAAGACTTATATTAATGAATTTGGATTAATCTGTAAAAACAGAAGTATGCCAACATTTTCCATTTGACATTCTGTATTGCCAGTTTTAAAAAGATAAAACTTGATGAGTTTCATGAAGTAAGGATAGTTATGCAGCTGGTTTAATCATGTAGTTTTGTAATTTTTGTGCAGCTTCTGAGTACTTCTTGTATTTTAAGATTTATTTGAAAGTCAAGTCAGAGCCCTAGTGAATGCGCCGATCCGAAGCCAGGAGCTACTTATGGGTCTCCCGTGCAGGTGCAGGGGCCCAAGCACTTGGGCCATCATCTGCTTTCACTGGCCATTGCAGAGAGCTGGACTGGAAGAGGAGCAGCCAGGTCTTGAACTGGCACCCATGTGGGATGTTGGCACTGCAGGTGGCAGCTTTACCCTCTGCCACAGCGCTGGCCCCTACATCTTGCATTTTAACTCTTTTAAAATGCATCATCACAACTTGATCCACTGCACTCCAACAATGCCCACCCCTTTAATATCTTGATTTAAAATGAATCTTGTTTTAAATTTGTGCTAATTACATTTTTAATGGTTGTAACACAAACCTGGGCTTCTTTTCCAAAGATTATTTTGAAAGGCGGAATTACAGGGAGGCAGAGGTAGAAATCTTCCGTCTGCTGGTTTACTCCCTAAATCACTGCAATGGCCAGGGAAGGCTGGGCCAGACTGAAGCCAGAAGCTTCATCCAGGTTTCCCATGGGTTCAGGGGCCCAAGCACTTGGGCCATCTTCTGCTGCTTTCCCAGGCATATTAACAAGGAACTGGATCAGAAGTGGAGCAGCTGGGACTTGAACCTGTAGGATGTCAGCGTTGTAATGGCAGTTTAACCTACTTCGCCACAATGCTGGCCCCAAACTTGGATTTTTCATACCTAAAAGTGGTCTACTGAATGATACATAAACTCAGTTATTGCAATTCTTATTTCCAGTAGGGTGATTCTTGAGCCATTACAAATGTATAAAAACCTCTGACAGCACTCAAGACATACCAGTTTCCATTTATTACTAATGATGTTTTATTCAGATACATTTTTAGTGAGGTATGTACAGTGGGATATTTTTGACTTGTCATTTAGTCTAGTCATGACGACACACTGGGTTTAGTGGTGCTCTTGCAAATGTTAAATACCAAGTATCTATCTAAATTCTTAGCCTATCAATTCAGAATGAAGGTTTTATAAAAAATTGTCCCATTCTTTATATAGTAAGGATAGTGACTTACAGCATGTTTGTAATTTTACTGTGCCTCAAATAATACACTTTGAACTCTGCTGTTAGCAACTTGGAGTAAAGATAAATCACCTGACCCACCAGGCATCTTAATTTCCTCACACAGTCTGCCACTTAAAACTCTCTTTTATTCTGCCTTTCAAATAAAGTTTGAAAAAGGTGGTGGTAGTAATCGAAGTCATGTGCATTTGGCATAGGTTAAGACCCTGCTTTGAACACCTGTATCCCACATCAAAGTGCCTGGGTTCAAGTTCCTAGTTCTTCCAGTTCCAGCTTCCTGTCAATGTGCAACTCCATGTGGGAGACCTAGATTGAATTCCTGGCTCCCAAGCATTTGGGGAGTGAGAGCTGTGTCTCTGCCTTTCAAAAACAACAAAAACCTCTTTATAAATCACTGAGAAGCATATACAGAGAATATTTTATTTAACCATAAAACAAATGTATGATGCAGTTTATATACAATTCATTACAAATAGAAAATAACACACTGAATGTATACCAACTTGATTTGAAGTCTTCAGTATGAATAAATTCAACACAGTCCTTTAGATGCAATTTCTTTTGGATTGACAGCAACACTTTTTGTTATGTTGTATGTCTTGTAAATTCCAATAAGTCTATCCGAAATCTCAAACATATTGTTTCGAAGAGAAATTATTATGAACTGGGCATTTTTTGTTTGTTCCTAAAGAGAGAAAGAATAATTTAGAAACTTTAAGTAGTAACAGAGGAAATCATGTAATAAAATTTAAGCCTTACCTCCCTCAAATATTGTTACTTATCAATTGGAATTTATTGCCCAAACAGGAATGATGGCATCGATAATTTTAACAAAAGTGTATTTGAGAGGAATTTACTTATTTTTTGAAGCTTGAGTGCCTGAAAGTGCCCTAACTGAGGCAGGGGAGCTTGGGAGGGACCCTCTAGGAAGGAGACCTGGGATTCTAGCTGTGATTCTGCTACTCATTTGTACCAATTTGTATTTTATACATCTCTAAAATGCAAATGTTCGGTTCAAATAGATTTTTGTTCTCCATTGACAGAGGACAAAGAGAATAGGAAAAAAAGCTCAATAGTAAGAAATGAAGAATTTCATGTGTTATGTTTAGGGGACCCATAAAATTTATGGAATGAGAAACCCATAAATGACTACTTACATATATATAAAATGCAACAATGGACACATTTTTAAAATCAAGGGCTGCATCAATTTCATCCATGAAGTAAAGGGGAGTGGGTTTGTAATGATGAAGAGCAAATACTAAAGCCAAAGAACTAAGTGTTTTCTCTCCTCCGGAAAGGTTGAAGATCTTCTTCCAACTTTTCTTAGGTGGTCGAACGCTGAAATAATTAAGAAAATCTCAGTTATAAAGCTATCAAGTTAATGACTGACTGCTATCAACTTACTCCTTGAGAATCTCTAAACTGCTTCACACACAAATAGTCCAAGGTGATAGATATGTCAATTATCTGATCTGAGTAGACACTGTATAGAGAGGTACTGAAATACCACACTGTACCCATGAACACATACAACTACTACATGCCAAAAAGAGTTATTGTAAGGTGAATACACAAGTTTTAAGATTTAAACAGCAAGGTGTGTACTTCCTATAGTATTTTTTACACTGAAATAGCTTAAAAACTTAAACATTTATAGAAATTGTCTTCAGTCTGTTCATAATTTTCACTGTTAACTACCAGCATAAACAAACTGGAATTTATAAAACAAGTTGTAGATTCAACCTTCATATCCACCACAAATGACAAAACTTTGAAAATTTTTTGGAAAATGGAATTAAAAGTTCACTTTGATCACTCTCCCCTTTATTTACTCCATCGGTTAGCGTTAGCAGGTACTAGACTTGTCTATGTGCTCCCTTTGACTCCCAGTCCCTCCACCATGACCAACTGTGAACTGAAATTGATCACCTGGAACAGTGAGATGGCATTGGTACATGCCACCTCGATGGGATTGAATTGGAATCCGCTGGTATGCTTCCAACTCCACCACTTGGGGCAAGTCAGCCTGAGCATGTCCCAAATTATACATCTCTTCCGTCTCCCATTCCCACTCCCACGTTCAACAGGGATCACATTTCAGTTAATTTTCAACACTTAAGAATAACTGTGCATCAATTACAGAACTAAACCAGTCATATTAAGTAGAACAGATAAAAAAAACTACTAAGAGGGATAATGTATTAAGTTGTTCATTAACAGGGCTATGCTGATCAAGTCACCGTTTCCCATAGTGTCCACCTCACTCCAAAAGGTTTCCCTCTTGGTGTTCAGTCAGTCGTCACCGATCAGGGAGAACATATGGTATTTGTCCCTTTGGGACTGGCTTATTTCACTCAGCATGATGTGTTCCAGATTCCTCCATTTTGTTGCAAATGACTGGATTTCATTGTTTCTTACTGCGGTATAGTATTCTAAAGAGTACATATCCCATAATTTCTTTATCCAGTCTATTGTTGATGGGCATTTAGGTTGGTTCCAGGTCTTAGCTATTGTGAATTGAGCTGCAATAAACATTAGGGTGCAGACCTCTTTTTTGTTTGCCAATTTAAATTCCTTTGGGTAAATTCCAAGGAGTGGGATGGCTGGGTCGAACGGTAGAGTGATCCAACATGGGAAGTGAGATACTCAGCAGACTCATAGAATGGCAGATGTCCTAAATAGCACTCTGGCCTCAGAATCAGCCCTAAAGGCATTCAGATCTGGCTGAAAAGCCCATGAGAGTATTTCAGGCATGGAAAGCCAAGACACTCTGGCAAAAGATCTCTGTGAGTGAGATCCCAGTGGAAAGAACAGGTCATCAAAGAAGGAGGTACCTTTCTCTGAAGGGAGGAGAGAACCTCCACTTTGACTATGACCTTGTCTAAACAAGATAAGAGTCGGAGAACTCAGAGGGCTTCCATAGCCTTGGAAACTCATGACTGGAGCATAGGGAGATTACTGATGCCATAGACAGGAGTGTCAATTGGTAAAGTCAACAACAGGAGTCACTGTGCACTTACTCCTCATGTAGGATCTCTATCCTTAATGTGCTGTACATTGAGATTTAATGCTATAACGAGTACTCAATATATTTCACTTTGTGTTTCTATGGGGGTGCAAACTGTTGAAATCCTTACTTAATGCATACTAAACTGATCCTCTGTAAAAAAAAAAAAAAGAAATTATCAATTCCCAACTTGACTCTCACTGGGATTAAACATGACAATAGGTCTGCTCTGATTTCATCATCATTTAAAAAAAAATCATCTATTATTTTTCACTTTATGTTTCTGTGTGGGAGCAAACTGTTGAAATCCTTACTTAATGTATACTAAGCTG